CTAGAGCAAAAAAGGGTAAGTGTACACATATATATATATATATTCTTCATACATATGTTTATATATATATATTCGTGATAGATACAATTTATTTATCATTATTCTTGATACATATATATATATACTAATATACTTTTTCTTTATCTCATATCTCAAATTGAAGACTCGTTGGTTGAAGGAAAACACCCTGGACACACACCATCTCAAAGCAATCCAAGAGACAATAGGTGGATTTCTGAATGATCAGGTCTTAACTCCCGGCGGCGAGTTTTACTTTGACCCAAATATGTGATGATGAAAGCCAAATTTCATATTGATCCAAAGAACATGTGATGATGAAATGTACAATTAATGCAAACTTTACATGTGACGATGAAATATAATATTATGTTTTAGTTTACTTTTACTTATGTTGCTTGCGTGCATTGATCGAGCGAAAACTTTACAGTACGCGCGCGTATACGTATATTACTTTGCAGCGAATAATGCGTATTCGAAAACCAAATTAAAACAAAAAAGAATCATCAATTGAAATAAGCAGGAAAAGAAAAAAAAAGACCCTTTAGTCCCGGTTGGTAATACCAACCGGGAATAAAGGGGCCAGCCCAGGCGTTGGTGTGGCTACCTTTTTAGTTCCGGTTGGTATCACCAACCGGGACTAAAGGTCCACTTCTATTCCCGGCTACTAACTCTTTATTCCCGAACTCCTATTCCCGGCTGCGTAACCGGGAATAAAGGGGGTTGGCAGCCGGGAATAGAAACCCTTTTTTTACTAGTGCCAGGCACGACATTGCCCAATGGCCATCCGGCCCGTGCCAGCCTGGCCCGATGAGGGGGTCATGCCTGGGCCACACCTTTGGTATGCCGTGCCTACCTAGCCTGTGCGATTAGTAGAGGCCTTAGAAGGCCCATCTCAGTAGTCACCTGCACCTCTCATATATAAACATACCAAAACTCTAGCCCAATGTCTTCGACTCCTAGCCGTTGTAGACCTCTACATTTTCTCCGCCCATGAATTGAATCTCTCCTTGAGTCCTGGTCTCCTCGGCTCCTCGGCCTCTGTATGCTGTCTTTCTCCAATTCGCAGCTTGCAACTCTCCTCCATGTTCAACTCCAATGCTTCCCATCCCTTCTCCACCAGTGCTAGCGGTGGCGCCCTAAGTCGGATGTTAGGCATGCGTCCTTGGCCACTGTGGTGCCAAGACGTGACACCTTCTCCACCAGCGCAGGCGGCCTCAGCCTCAGCCGGCTTGGATGGTGGTTTGTGGGTTGGAAGAGGCAGGGGGCTTCAAGCTCCCATGCTGTCGGGTCATGCCTTCAGTAGGCTCGGGCCGTGTCAGGATGTGCCACCCATATTTGGCCATCTATACCTCCATCCTTTGATTCATCATGTTGGATGTTGATTTCCCTTCACGATGTTCAAAAATAAGATCTATGACAGTTATTGCCCTCATGGGGTGTGTCCAGTAGCACTCCTCTCCCCTTATAGATAATGCTCCAAAATTATCCTCCTGTTGATCAGACTGATGCCCGAAATAGCAACCATGTCATGGAAATCACAGAAGTCATCACAATAATAAATTGTAACAAAAACATTTGACTTCATTAATAGATTTATTTGTACTAATCCTAAAGAAACCACATTTAAATAACAATGATAAACAAGAGATGGGTCTCTCTGCTTCCTCCCGACAGGAGAGGAAGGAGGGGGCTCCCAGACGGCAGCGTTGGTGAAGGTCTATCCAAAGGTACTGTCATCACCAATAGGGTTACGGACTCCCAAGGGTTCTACCTTCCCTTGTGGCCTGGGTACCCACATTTTACTTTCCTCAGAGGTTCTAACCAGTTTTACCCTTCCACGGAGATTTTCAGGGTAAATCCTTTCTCGAAGGTTAAACCTTCTCACACAGAGGTTCTAGGAGGTTTAACATTTTTATGGAGGTTCTTGGAGATTTAACCATCTCATGGAGGTTCTCAATGGTTTAACCTTTTCTCGGAGGTTCTCGAAGGTTTAACCTTCCCTAACATGGTAATAGGGACTCGAGGTTAGCATCACTAGAATTAGGGCTTCCTTTCCATTGTAGAGAACCCTCTCTCCGGTCAGGTTCTTGGGAACTTATATAGCGGTTGGGAGCTATCATTTACAAGCAGGTTATTGGTGGGACAATTTTTTACATGAAGCAATCTAAACCTCTATTTGGGCCTCTTTCGGGCCAAGGGAGGCCTAGCTCATATACCTCATGGGGTCCCCAACATTAGCACCTCAACTATTAAGTTATGATGAGTAACATGACCTAACAGATGCTCCTATTAGAATGAATTTGATTTGTAATTTTGTTATGCTCTTGCATTAATATTCAAACTTACACGCAAGTAATATAGAAAAATTATCCATGTGTGCACTACTAACGAAAGTGTTTTTGGAGATGGTTAAAATCGATTTGTAGAGGCAAGCAGTGTGGCCTCCTCTAGCAAATGGTCACTATTACTCGGTCATTTTCAGAGGTAGTTGCATGCCCACCTTTGTAAATCAATTAATAGGGACGGACACCTTAAGATGCCCTACCACTCGGAACTTCAGCACATATAGCACTACCCTACGACTAGACCACACACTCATTTGTGAGTAAATATAGACATCTATCTTCTATAAAGATTTTGCAATCTTTTATTTAATATTTCAACCACTAAATGATTTCAAATAAAAAAGTTTGAACAACAAACTTTTAGAGATTGTCAAGCAGTAGAACTTTGGTATAGGATGTGTCTCCATCTGAGATTGTTTAAAAAATTCAGAATGTTGAATCTCAAAATATATGAATTTAGAAAATATTTATTTGAGACTCTAAAGAACTTGAAATAAAAAAACTTCTCAACTGCCAAGTTGTAGATCATGTCAGCAACTATAAATTTAGTATTAACCATGTGAATATTCAAGGTTGTTTGGAAATTTCAGATTTTGAATTTCAAAATCTATGAAATTAAAACACATATTTTACCCTAGAAACAACTTCAAATAAAAAAAGTATTCATCTATAATGTTGTATATTGTGTTGAGGACTAGAACTTTGGTATATACCATGTCAATATCTGAGGTTTCTTTTTAAAAAAATAAAATTTTAACTTCTGAACTTAAAACAATATTTCAGAACACTAAACAGTTTCAAATAAAACCTTCTGAACTATAAAGATGTAGATTGAGTAGAGAGCTACAAGCTCGATATAAAGTTCATCATCATCAGACTTTGTATAAAAAAGTTATGATATTTTTTGATGCAACTATTCTCAAGACTGTTCATCTCTGTTAATTGATTTCCAGATACAGATCCTCAGAAATCGACATCTCAAGATGCCTACCTCTGTTAATCGATTTACAGAGGCATGCATCTTAGGACAACCACCTCTATAAGTCGATGATTAACAGAGGCGACTGCCTCAAGATGCCTGCCTCTATAAATGATTAACAAAGGTGGACGTTTGCATATAGAGGCCATCCAACCATTTATAGAGGCGGGCTCTAGATATGCCCTCCTCTGTTAATTAGAGAGGTTGTCTTAAAATCTTTTTTCTAGTAATGATGTCTACATTCATCATGTGTACCAAGCAAGGAATTGGAGATTTCTTTTCTCCTTACCTGATCATTTCAGTGCAAACAAAGAAGAAGCTGACAAAAATAATTATTGCATGAGGGATGCTGAGATTCTAGGAGTTCTTTTTTATTTGCTATTTCATTTTGCTAAATCTAAAAATTAAAGGCTATGTTTTTTTAAGATCTTATCTCCTAAAAGGTAACCGGAGTACCGCAGCAAGTCCCGCTGATTGGAGATAACTTAGATATTGTGAAGAATCACAAGTCACAATGACGATGGGAGAACTGAACTGATTAGTAAGGATCAGTTGTATGTGATTTGAGCTTGAGGGATGAGGATGGGTATAAAAGCAGACTTTTCAGGACAATTCAAATGTTGCAAAAAGATGTGTGGCCGAGCAGGAGAATGATTCTGTAGGTATCGACATTCCTGTGTATGAGGCCATTGCAAAAGTGACAGTGGTTACTTCTGATATGGACCATCTAAAATGTACATTGGCACTACGTACCCATCAATGGTCGAATTCAGGTTGGCTGTAAGGCAACTTGCCATAAATGAAGAATTTGAGCTAGCCATATAGAAGAATCAAATAAGAAGATATTTAGAGGGTTCTGTGAGTTCAGTAAAGATTGTCCTTGGAGGATTACAACAGGACCTACCCTCTTCTAGGTTGAATCTTTATTCACTACAACAGTTTCATTTTCACATCAGGGTTTCAACTGTCAGTCTGCCCAAAACCATTGGTGATAATTTTTGCCACTGGTTCAAAAGCTGGTGGGACACGGTGGTATGAAAAACCGGCGTTGAAAATAGTTTTCTCCGCTGGGTCGGCGGGATGATTCAGTGGTGAAAACCGTCACAGTTTGTACTGCCGCAGGTTTTTCGCCCAATGGCTGTTTGAGCCTACAGTGAAAATTCTTTTCGCTGTCAACTTATTGTATGATCCGGCGGTGATAACCACATTGGTTTTCTCCAGTGGATCGTCCATTGCCATAGTGACGAAAACGATCCATCACGCCGGATCAAACAGCAACTGCACTCCACCTACTATTAACCCGCGATGAAAACCACCTGGGACCAAACCCCTTTTCCCACCTATTGTTCCTCACTCCCTTCAATTCTTTAAGGGCCATTGCTAGATCGAGTTGCTCTTGCTCACATATTTACATTAGAATCATACACTGATGGCCTAACAAAAAAATCCCATGCTGCTGCGATGCTACTGGAACCTGATTATATCTTGGCAAATTCTAATATGCAGTGAAAAAGACATAGATTAAACAAAACTCATCAGTTAACAAGTGCCTCAGACCACACTTCCAGCCATACATTACTACTCCACATTAGATGAAGTGGATTACATTGCCCTGAATGGAAACTAAACATACCCTCGTCACAAATGTGAAGACGTCATGGACAGGGAGCAACCTTGGCCAGCAGCTCTTTGATAAGAGATGGGCAAGAAGCCAAGAGAAGGTCAAAGCCCTCGGTCGCCATGACAGTCTTCAGATGGCTTGGCGACTTCAGCAACTCAAAACATGCCTTCTTGAGCCCCTGGCAACCATGCCGCTCAGCGAGTGCCAGTGTAGTCACTACGGTGCTTGTGTCGATGCACATGCAGAGCTTGTCCTCACAAATCAGTTTGAGCCTCTCTAGATCATATCTGTCCGCTGCTACAAGCAAATGATGTGTGATCACAAACGCATCTTCCTGGTCAATATCAGGCATGGTGTCGGTGTAGATGAAGTGGAGCATAGCCTCGAACACACTTGCTTCCATGTCTTTGATCTCTATGCAGTTCATGGCCTTCTCCTTCATGGGGCCAAAGAGCTCTGCCATGAAAACCGATGACCTTGCAGCCAGCACACACCTGTGTGCAGCAAACATATCTCCGGCAACCTCAAAAGTGACGTCGGCCCCCACCGCGCCTGAGAGGAGGGAACCAAAATGCCGATGCATGTTGGACGGCGGCACGAGGACGAACTGCATAGTGGCCTCTGTGCTGATGCCCTTAGAGACGATGACATCGCACCTTATTTTAAGGCAATCATCTCTTATATAAGACGATTCCTCCAGGGCTTTCCTTGAAACGAATTTGGAGAAGCCCCAGCACCGATTTTGGAGGAGAACGTATCGTCCACAGAGGTTTCTGAGCTAAACATCGGTACATATTTGCCGCTGTCGTCCAGAACACCAAATACGAATCGAGCATTGACTTCCACAGCGGCATCGGTATGATCGTGCTGCAGGTAGATAGAAATCCAGCCGGCATTTTCTAAGACATTGCCATCAGGGTAGTACCTGATATACCAGCGGTGACCACCCACGCTGAATGTGCTGGATTTGATGTGTTTGCCGTTGCCGAGTTCCTTGGTCGTTATGGAGTAGCCTTTGATCTGGAGCACGTGCGACCCAGTCATGGCCTCCGCCGCAACGATAGCCGACGTGGTCAGGGCCTCGCCGTCGCTGCTGATGATGCCGACGGCAGACGCTGCATTGGTTGATGACATGATAACGGAGTGCTCTTCGTAGAGTTTCTGACTACGACCAAAATAAAGCGAATCGAGAGGCAAAAGCAAAACGAGATGTTCTGTCGATCGGATCGAGTTTGTTGCCGGGAAACCGAGATCGATATTCTATTGAGTTTCTGGATCGCGTACCGAGCACTAAGTATTTGAGTACCTTTATTTCTATTAACATCCGGTTTTCTATTCCGTTTTGGTTTTGGTTCGAACTTCCGGTTTTTTATGTATATCTATACTTCTATACTTAATACAGCCTAATACTATCCTACTCGGATTCGGAGTAGCCTTTCAGCGAACACAACCTCCTGCTCCTGCCGCGTCCGTGGTTGGTGTCCGTAGTTTTTTGTTTTCGTCAACCCCCTCTCCTGTTCGATCTAAAACGCCTCCAAGTTCCTCTCGCATCGTTCTTGCTAGGGCTCTCGCATCTCAGCCTCGCCACAGCGCCCAAACTAGCAGTTTTTAATCCATCACCGCTCCTCCCTGCGTCGACCTGGGCTCTTGATTCCGTCACACGGGGTGCTTGATCCAGGGAGTAAAGTTTCCTGTCACATCGGATATCTAGATGCTAATTAGTAAAATTAAATATGAGCTAATTATAAAACTAATTACATAGAAGAAGACTAATTTGCCAGACGAATCTATTAAGCCTAATTAACCCATCGTTCACTACTACAGAAACCATTTTTAGGGGTGGCTCGTGACCCTTTGTAGGGGCGGTTTGGCCAGCCGCCCCTACCGAACCGTCTCTACAAATCATACATTTATAGGGGCGGCTGTAGTACCAGCCGCCTCTATAATACCTGTTTGTAGGGGGCGGTTCAATCTAGAACCGCCCCTACAATACGTTTTCCAGCCAAAAAAATTCTAATTTCCAATTCAAATTCGACCAGAACACTATTTGTTTCCGCGTATTCCATCCAGCGTTCGTGTTGCCGAACGTCCCGCGACCAACGTTCCGAACCGCGTTCGAGTTGCCGAACGCCCTGCGACCAGCGTTCCGAACCCCTTAGACTACAAGCACAAGAGTATTATATAAACTACAATTACAAGTCCAATTCACTAGAATATATACAATCCATCATTAAATATACAAATTCCATACACATTGTTATCAACGTCCTAGGGCTAGCCTTCCAGTCTCACGAAGGTGTTGGTACTGAGGATTTCTACCTAAGTCAGACTCTCGGTCATGGTAGGCGCTTTTGACGTGTACAATCTGGTCCAATATGAAGTTGCAAAGGTCGTCGACGAGCTCTTAGAGTTGGTCATCCTTATATGGATCTCTTTCATTCCTTTCTCTTCTTTCCACTACAAGAGAATAAGTTTCGGTTTAGTATTTCATACCATGTACGAAGTTTTTATACTACGGGTGAAGTGGTTCAAACTTACCCTTAAGGAGTGTCTCCTGTAGGCACCGGTGTTACTCATCATAGAACATATATAGTATCCACAATGTACACTCCCAGGTTTTTGCTTGGGGCACTGTGTGTTTTGCATATGAAAATGTTAAGTAATGCTTTTGACAGTCATGTAATGGAGTACTGAAGAAGTAAGTTACACTTACCGCACATAGTGTTTTTATAGCCAGCTTTTCTTTTCTTGTTGGATCATGCCTTCCGTGATGATTAGTGACAAAGAACCTAAATACCCTGTTCGAATTATTTTAGTAAATATAACTTGTTAGTACCCAAAAGTGAACGTTACAAGTATGTATACAAACATATAAGCTAATGAGGATTGTCGATATGTATACGTCTTGAGAATCGATATGAAGTCTTTGTATGTCACCAGGTCCCTATCTATTGAATCAAAGACCCATGCCATTCTCCTCCCGACATCAACGGCTATACAAATCCAGTGGTTGATGCTTGGATTTAATCATAGAACTAGATAAGCTCTATTGCATCGAATAAAATATATCGAACAAAGCTTTAAGTATAGAGTTGAACTTACTCGAAGTTGTATGGTAGCCATATAGTAGAGTGTTGTTGGAGAGTTTTGAAAGCCAGGGCAGTGTATGACACAACCTTAAGGGACTCTTCCCTTAGTTTCGCCGTACGGATGTGCTCTTTCTCCCGAAGAGTCTTTGCAGCAGCTAGCTCTTTGGCATCCAGTTTCCACTATTTAGGGTAATTAAAATTTGTTTGGGCTATTGCTTGAGGGTCTAGATACCCGGCTTTCACACTTGGCATTTGTTTGACAATGTGCACTTGCATTCTACAAATCACGGCATGGGTTAGTTACAACAAAATTCAAAGATTACATTCATATCATATCGGGAGGACAAGGACTTACAGGCACCACGTGCGAATTAGATTCATCTCCATTTATCCCGGATGAAAGCATGTGTGCATGTCATTGAAGTCAAAGACAATTTTCTCGGCTGGGCTTCCAAATGTGCCGGTGGGGAAGCATGCTTGTATGAGGTCTATGCTCGTTGGGAGAACACGCAAGTACCAATCATGGAACCTTCTCATTCCAAGTGGTAGGCGCTGGATGTCCCGGTTTGGTAGGAAGGGCTTGCCTCTTTCATATGTTTTCGGGCAATCCTTTGACCATCTGATGGCATCAACATTTGGATACTGCTTTGCAATTTGGTGGAGTTTGCTAGTGATGGCCTCCTTAGAACCCCGTGATGGGACTTTTTTAACTTGGTTCTCAGGCTTGAACTGGTCATGGGAATACCACTTGGACACCGATGAGACATCTTTCATCGGAACATAAACTGGCCTTATGGTGATTGGATGCTTCTTTCGAAGTTCTCATTCAGGCACGTCCTCATCATCTTGTGCATCACCTTCTTTAGGAGGCACTCGTTGTTCATGTATCGGCTATGCTTGTTGAGAAGATTGTGGCATCTCATCATGCACTTGTTTGGTACTGAATGGAGAAGGTTGTGGCATCTCATCAGGCACATGCTCACTAGGAGGCGGGGAAGAATGTGGCATCTCAGGAATGTGGTGGTCAGAAGACGGTGAAAATATCTCCCTAACCTCAACAACTTGCTCCAAATTTGGGAGAGGAGGAGGCAGCGAAGAAGCAGTCAATATAATGTCCCGTTTGTGCCAGAGGATGAACTGCCCCATAACGTCTCCGAGTAACACCAGCCCTCAGGAGTTGCGTAGTCTATTCTCCACTGCATGAACTCAGGCTTCACGGTATGCACCTCGACCCTAGTGTAGTCTGGCGGTATTTTATTATTGTGGTGTAAGCCACCGAGAGGATGTGCCACACCTGTTGCCACCTCCATCACAGTGTTCTACCGGCCGCTGAGAAACAACAAGGTGCAACTAGTTGGTTCCCGTATGCGATCGATGGGGGTTGTGGCTGCAGTGGAACCTTGGCTGCTAGGAACTTTCGAAGGGCTGTCAACTAATGTCAGTTCTCCCGGCAATGTCACTAATATCCGTGGCTCTGTAGACAGTCCTTGCTCCTCCAGCGCCTTCGCAACTAGAGCCTTCACTTGGAGCTTAAGATTAGTCTCCTAGTCTCTGTCATGTTTCTTGTACATGTGCCTATCCTCTTCAAATCCTTGCTTCCAGGTCATCCTTTTCCTTAGCCCCGTGGTGCGGCCTGTGTGCTCCTTGTTTTCCAAGCCAAGGCTAAGCTCGTTTCTCTCTCTGGAATGATTGAATGAGCCCTTCTCCTTGTCTTCAGCATATTTCAGTATCCTTGATACTGCCTCTTGGTTCTCTGGCTTATCAAACTTAAAATTACCGCCGGATGATTCTGCACTCCTCGCATATATCCAATTCCTTGAGCATACCTTCAAATTTGTCACATCAAGATTCCCTAGCTGCTGACCTCTCTTCGTCCATCTTCCTAAACTACTCTTCCTTGGCATAGTAGCCACCAGGGCCTAGATGATGGTGGTGTTTGTTCCTCTTCGCTAGCTCGGTGTTACGGGCACTGAGCTCCAATGCCTCTGGTGAAGTCTTCTGAGCCACGACCTCCTCCCATTGACTAGGAGTTATTTTGCCAAACTCGTTGAAGGGAGTTAACTCCTTTTGGATATACTTCTTGTTGAGCTCCGACGTCCAACGTCGGAATGACTCTACCATCATCCACGAAAGCATTTTTTTACCGGTCGTGCTTGCCCTCCGGAAATCTAAAATTGAGCTTCAATTTGCCTATCCCATAGTTCATTCTTTTTGTTCTCTAGTACCTCTTTCCGGTTAGGGATTCTTTGGGTTCAATTTATCTCTTACTAGGGCCCCGATCGCATTCTGAAATCGTCCTCTTAATTCTTTTCGGCTCAAGGATCTCCCTGTTGACTCGACCTCCGTTATCACATAGCATGCCTTATCTGGATATAGATTTCCTTTTCTATCCCCTCGTTTCTTCTTAGGCTTGGTAGTCGTGGTTGTGTCTTGAGGTTGTGGAGCAGAGGCCTCAATGTTCATCTCTGTGGTTGTTGCCTCTGCTCTCCTTTCCTCTACTCCATCTTGTCCAGCGAGATGTCGCGGACGTCGATGTCGTCTTTTCCGAGTTTCAGGAGGGACCTGTATATACGATAGGTTAAAGTGTTAGCAGAGGTAACACAGCCAAAGCTTTAGTAAAATTTACAAGCTAAGGTTTTTTTCCTACCTCCTCGTTCGGGACAAAATCCTTGTCCAAATCTTCCTCCGTTGGCCTCCTTCTGGCTTTACGTGGGAAAGGATCCTCGGGACTTACATATCCCTCTTCTGAGTCATCATCATCAACTTCTTCGCCTTCAGCAGCCTCTCCTACTCTTCCTTCTGCCCCCCATTCCTTCTCGTCACACTGCTCCTGAGTAAGCATCACTTCTAGATCCTTTTCTAACTCGTTATCGAACTGCTCCTGAGTAACCTGGTCCTCTAGTGCTCGCTCCTCATAGGTTGGCTGCTCATCATGCTCAGGGCATCGGGATGCACTGTCTGGTGTCCGTGACATTATTTCGCGCTTTGTTCTAATAGATGCAAGAAAGTGTGCTTTAGGCACGCGAGAAGGTATAAGAAATCAAA